AGACCGGCACCAGCATTGAGACCAGCACCAACCTTGAGACCGGCACCAGCATTGAGGCCGGCACCAGCGTTGAGCCCGGCGCTCGCTTTCAATCCTGCATTGGCGCTAAACCTCGCACCGGTATTGAGACCAGCACCAACGTTGAGACCGGCACCAGCATTGAGACCTGCACCAACCTTGAGACCGGCACCAGCATTGAGGCCGGCACCAGCGTTGAGTCCGGCACCAGCGTTGAGTCCGGCACCAGCGTTGAGTCCGGCACCAGCGTTGAGTCCGGCACCAGCGTTGACTCCGGCGTTCGCTTTCAATCCTGCATTGGCGTTAAGACCCACACCAGCGCTGAGGCCAGCACCAACGTTGAGACCGGCACCAGCATTGAGGCCGGCACCAGCGTTGAGTCCGGCACCAGCATTGAGGCCGGCACCAGCCTTTAGACCGGCACCAGCGCTGAGTCCGGCGTTCGCTTTCAATTCTGCATTGGCGTTAAGACCCGCACCAGCGTTGAGGCCAGCACCAACGTTGAGACCGGCACCAGCATTGAGGCCGGCACCAGCCTTTAGACCGGCACCAGCATTGAGTCCAGCACCAGCGCTGAGGCCGGCGCCAGCCTTGAGACCGGCACCAGCATTAAGTCCAGCACCAGCGTTGAGTCCGGCGTTCGCTTTCAATCCTGTATTGGCGTCAAGACCCGCTCCGGTATTGAGACCAGCACCAGCCTGAAGTCCAGCATTCGCCTTGAGGCCTGCGTTCGCGTTGATGCCGGCACGAGCATCGAGACCGGTGCCGGCGTTGGCATTGCCGTAACCAAGTGCACCGAGACCAGCATTTGCGTTGAGATCCACGCCCGTAGCGCCGTAGCCACCAGCACCAGCCTTGAGACCGCCAAGTGCCTTTAGAAAAGACAGTCCGCCATACTGTATCCACTTATCCCCGCGGACGCGCCTTCATATCCGTCTGTGCCGACACTAGCACCTCCGTAGCCAGTGTTGTGGCTCTTCGGTAATAGCCAGCCAAATGGTCTCCGCCGCCTCCGTCGTCGCATCCACTGTACCACCAGAGAACGTCACAGCTGCCGCACACAATGCATAGATCGTCTTGCTGATCATCATCTTGGTCGTAATTGGAGTAGCTTGCTTGAGCTGGAGTGACTTGTTGGAGGCAGTCGAAATTGAAGAGTGAGCTCTAAGGCAGTCCACTGCGAGCAGCCCCAGCGCTCAGACTAGATGGCTGGTAACTCGAACGGAACAATCTGTTCTGCCCGCACGACGTGTAGTCTAAAGCAGAGGGAATAGCCACTACCATTCCTATGCCACATGATTATCAGGTATTTGTAAGCTACATCGATCTATTTATCAGGTTCAGTGCTAGTATAATTAAAGTGTCATTCTCGGATAAGATCTGCGCAAACACGCAGGCAGAGAGACGCATCACAAAAACAGCGAGACCGGATGGTGACAAAACGGTGAAGCGGTATGGAATTACAAGGGACATTTCCGATGACGAGAATTCCCGCGGGAATTACAGTTTTGATGCATCGAGCGTGTCGTTTGGTTGTAGCAAACTACGGGTCAAATATGAATAACTAACGGGCGGGTGGATCGAGATCCACGCCGGCAAGGTCATAAAATGCTGTTATTTTAGTGGTAAGTGAATCCCATGCTCCTACTTTTAATCACCAGCGCAGGTTCGACCTTTCAATAGCTGGAGCGAGCGTGACGTTCATCATCTAACTTTTTGTCTTCTAGCCGTCTTAACAGTCGGAAATCCAAGGTCATCATTATCCATAGACTTGCAGTATGGTCGTTAGTGTTTACCAGATAGCTATTCTAGAGAGCACTTAAAGCTCTCTCTAGAAGCAGAAAGCATTCCATGCATTTTACCAGGTCAGATCAACACACATGGCGCATTTCCTTTTCTAAACTCTTCAACATCACGCTCTCAGTGAGTCACCGATGGAGTAATCCTTGTGTCGGTTTGACGATTCCCATTACTCCAACAGGTACGGTGTGGCTTTTTGGCTTTTTGGTAAGTTTCGTACAGTACGCCTTTTTTATTATTATGGAATGCTACACAAACAATTTATCCGAAACTGGTAAATGAAAGCTGGGGGCTGGGATATCATCGGGTTTTTAAAAGCGTCACCGAATACGCTATGCCGAACCATTCCGTTCATGTGATAGAA